CCCCACCCATACCCTCACCCCCCAATTTGTTTTTCAACTTACACATTTTAAGGTAAAATACTTTTTTTATGCAAGATGAGCATGATTCTAAAACATGGGTCAAGTTGGGCGGGTTGGATTATGACCCATTGTTTAGCCCATCTTAACCCAAGTATACTTTGGACTGGGTTGGGTAATGACCCATTTATTGACCTAACTCATCTTGATCCGCCCAAATTCAGCCCGACCCGCCCATTTGCCACCCCTAGATTAGACAAAGCCGGAAACCATGGTCAGAGTTTATTTCGAATCCCTTTTGTACTTCTTTCATTTGTTGGTTATATCTGGCTGTTCTCTATGCATTTGAGTACTGTTTCTTCCTAGCTTCGTGTTACCTGAGACCTGAAAAAGTATGCAAATCGTTTTCTTTTGTTTCCTTACTTTCTCTTTTTCTTTTTTTTTTTGCCATGCAGCAATCTTAATTTTATGCTTTGCTAAGTCGGAAGTATATTAGTTGGTGCAAGAGAAGATTAAGTGGGCGTTTGGACATAAGCATTGTAAAATTCCAAAAAAAGGTGAAAAAAATTTCAAGTGAAAATAGTATTTGAAATTTAAAGTTGTGTTTGGACATGAATATAATTTTGGGTTGTTTTTGAAGTTTTGTGAGTGATTTGAATGAAAATTTTGAAAAATAGGTTTTCTGAGTTTTTCAAATTTTGGAAAATTTTATTGGAAATTTTATGAACAAACGTTGATTTCGGAAAAAAATAAAAAAAATTTGGAAAAAAAGAAAAAAATTCTTATGTCCAAACGGCTCTAAGTTCTCGTGAAATGTAAGAGAATTTATTGTTGCCACTATCCTACATTTCTTGACTTGTCTGTCATACATTCTTAATTACTCGCTTCGTCCCATTTAATGTGATTGAGCACAGAGTTTAAAAAAGAAAAAAAAATAATTCTTGAAATTTATGATGTAAAACAAGCCATAGATACTTGTGTGGTTGTAAATCATCTCATTCAGGATTTAGAGGGAAGTTTAAAGTTGAAATATATTACTCCCTTCGGTCCACTTATATTTGGCCTTTTTTTTCTAGTCCACAATATTTGATTTTTTTAGATATCAAGAAGAAATTAACTCTTTTTTTCCAAAGTTTCCCTTAGAGTAAAAAGCCTATGATATTTGTTATATTTTCAATGAACAAATTAGGGTTAATATGGTCAATTTTATTGCTAATTAATGCTAAAAGGTGAATTTTTTAATATGTATGAAAACAACCTAAAAATTAATTAAAGTGGACCGGAGGGAGTAATTTTTTTTTTTTTGGACAGACTAATAAAGAAAGTGCACAAAAATAAATAGGGACAAAGGTAGTAAGGTCATCTCCAACCCTCTCCCATTTCTCCATGGGGGCAACTTTTGCCATAATGGAGCTCCAACCCTCCCCCATTTTTGGAGGAACAATATTCATCTCCACTATTACTATTCATGCATATTTTATTATTTAATTCTTTTAATTTATATACCTAATTATCTTATGTAATATCTTTATAATATTAATTTTACATCTTAACTTTGGCGTATAATTTTGATAAATTAATTTTCGTGCATTTATTATTTTTATGTAAAATTATAAGTTAATTTTATTATAAGTTATAATTGTACAAAAAATATATAATCATCTCAAAAAATGAATGATGCAGATATAAAATATTAGATGTTGCTAAAATTGAAAGCTAACGGTATATATCCAAAATGGTCAACCCGTGTGCAAACTATTCGTGAGCCACGTTCGGCAAAGAAGAAATTTTTTGCGATGAAATAACAAGAATCATGTCGAAAAGATGTTGAACATGCATTCGAAGTTTTGCAACAACGTTTTGCAATTGTTGCGGGACCGTCACGTTTTTAGCAAAAAGAAGTGCTACATGGTATAATGACTACATGTATTATATTGCACAACATGATAATCGAGAATGAGCGTAATCTTAATGCACCAATTCAAGATGATTTGGAAGGTCCACCTCCAAGAGTAGAAATGACAGTAGATGAAAATCAACGATTTTCAAGAATATTTAGCTCGACATAGAAGAATTAAGGATAAAGATGCTTATTTTGCACTTCGTAATGCATTGATAGATCATTTATGGGGGAATACTAGAGGTTGAAGTTTAATATTTATGTAGTATTTCGAATGAATTTTACCGTTATGTAATATGTATTTAATTAATCTTGTATCACAATGATTTCACTTTTATTTGAATTATTAGTTAATCTATAATAATTGCTTACAAATTATAATATTTAAAATTTTATGGAATTGTTTTAATGAAAATTACAAATTAATGAAAATAAAAGATGGAATTTGTTTAATGGAAATTAAAAAATAAAATTGAAATGAAAGATAATAATATAATATAGAAGAGAGAGAAGAATATAAAAAAAATATTCTTTAGGAGGAAAAAATGGGGGAATGGTTGGAGTAAGTTGTCCCCAAAATAAGAATTTTCCCGTTTTGGAGACCAAAATAGGAGTAAGATGCCCTAAAAGAAGCTCAGTGGCATCACGACCTCATCACTGTATCCTTGAGATCTAAGGAGGCAGAAAACCAAGCTTGGTGGCATGTTAAAAACTTGTTGGTAAGGTGTATCTCAAGTAAAATGAAACTAACAGCATCATAAGATAGCACCAATTTTTCACCAGGTTTTCATAGTCAAGAAGTCTTAGATAATATAGATATTCATATTATGCGTTGGTTAACCCATTTTTTATCCGTATTAAATATGGGTCAGGTCGGATATTTATCCGTTCTTTTTATTACCCGTTTGCCCATTTGTCACCCCTAACCTTGACCATTCAAGGTTAACATCGATTAATATTGCTTAAACTTATGAATTCCACTGATGAACATTAACATGTACATTTTCAGTTGTTCAAATGTGGTATTTCTCGTTTTGATAAGAGTTAGTACCTTTTTTCTTGCCTAAATTCAATTTCAGACTATTATTGATATCTGTTTCTTAATTTGAACTGAACGTTTTATTTTCAACTTTGCAAACGAAATTAGAAAGTGTGTAAGTTGATCAATTGTTGACATACATGAGTGAAAAATGGATCCTTAAATTTTTTTTTTTTAAAATAGAACTATTAAAAGTTTCAATAAAATTGAGAAGAATGATCATTAATTTGACACAGATTGAAAATGAGAGGTTAATATTCAATTTTGAAAAATAGATGTAATTAGTTATTTCTAAAGTAAATTGTATAATTTGACAAAGTGTCACCGTGTTAGGATTTTAGGTTCCACAATTCATTTCCGTTTAAATATCATGTATTAAAGGACAAACTGAATCTTGTTAAGTGTGTTGCCAACTATATTAAGATTCATATTAGATTGAAATTTTAATTATCGGTTTTAATGAGGAAAACATATTACTCCACTTTAAGAAGCAGCAGGTTTAATAATTGGTAGACCGATGCTGAATTCTTTGATTTTTTCTTCTTTATCATGGAAATTCCCTTTTTTATTCTTCTTTAGGTAAGAAAATGATGTCAAGAATTTCTTTTCAGTTTTGGCATGGTTTGCTTCTTCCAATATGGTCAGGTATGAGACATCCAGAATCAAAGTCGGTATTCCATCCATCAGGTCCAAATCTAAAGAAGGCAGGGGGCGACCCGTAATTTGGATGAGCTTTTGGTTGAATAAGTGGAGCTGTGTTAGGCTATGAAGGTAGACCTGGCGCTCTTCATAGATTAATAGGTTTCTGGTTGGTAGCTGCGGTTTTCGAGTACCTCGCAATGTGGTTCAGCCCACAATTCTTGGGTCTTTGGTTGTCTTGGGCAGTGTTCCTACTTCCTCAGTCTCAATGAATGAACCAAATATAGAGAATGATTTCTGAATGGAATGGTCACGAATCAACATAATCCACGCCTTAAAAGCAGGGCAGTAGCTGTGTCACTTTCCAAAAAAAGAATACACTATGCAATTTGTTCTTTTCTCAGCTCTCTCATATCTTTCACTGTCTTTGTTAGGAGGCACCTTTTTTTAGTGCAGCCACCGACGGAGGATACAACTAGTTACTTTTGCTTTGATCCAATAGTTATCAATAGCCAGCCAGCTTATCCAAAGAAATGTCTTAGTCAGTAGGCTACGAATTGCTGCGAAAATACTTCACGACTGAATTGCTTTTGAGGATTTAATTTGCCCAAATGAACCGTTTTCTCAAAAATCTCTGCAGTCACCATGCAAGCTCCAATGTTTTTACTTCTCTGCTTAATTTCGGGTTCAATCTAGATTATCGTGCTAGATGAATTTCGTGAGTATTTTTACTCCAAATTGTTGTTTCGAAAAAAAAATTACAAGTTTATTGACGACGGCTGTATTTGTTATGCAGCAAAAGTCGAGTTAGACTAATCATTGAGGCTACCAGTTTAGAGATATTGATGAAGATTTTTTCTCAATAATTTAAGAGAAAGAAATTTCAATTTTTCTTGTTACCACCGGATCAGGGGCTAAGCTAGAGTGCCGGAACGGATTCGATTTAGACTTAGTAATTTTGGTTCAAATTCTATATTTGTCTTATAAAATTATTAAATATAAAAATTATTAGTTTAGAACTCAATATCTTAAAAATATTAGAATCTCGAATGCATAAACTTAAAAATTCTGGGTGCTTCTGATCTCTTATGTACATAACAAAACGGTGAGAGCCACGATGGCTTATGAAATTTGTTAGATGCTGGTGATCTCAGTGTTGTATTTAGCCACCGGAATTTATGGAGAGGGGGCTCCAACCCTTCAACTTTTTAACAAATTGTGCTAACAAAATAGCAAACGTAATAGGGCAATGCCGACACGCGCCTCTGTCGAATTTCATATACGTAGGAGTAGTTACTTCTGTTGGTTTTAGCTTGACAAATGTATGCTAAGATTTACAGAATAATAATTTCTGTAATTTGAAAAAAGAAAGATATGCTTAAGATTTATTGCTATACCCCTAGAAATAAATTCCCTTTAAATGTGTAGAAAATAACAACGCCAAACGCAAATACTATGATTATGCTGAAACAAAATGGGATGTCGCCTCCAATGTATTTTTTTTTCAATTTTAAATTTGAAGACAAAAGTATGGGATGTTAAATGTATATACATATTAAAATCATAAAATAAAAAAAAATGGATATATGAATCATATTCTTGTGTTAATATTGTAAAGGATGCTGCTCCCTCCTAGTTAATCACTTGACTTTCATAATACGTGTTTTCACATTTTCAAAGGATACACCCTTGTGCGTATTATTATTACTAGTTTCTCGCACGTGCATTACACATGCATACCAAATAAAGCTACTCGACTTGTATTGTGTGATGTATCTAATAGCCTCAAGTATGTATGTGTGTATATATAGTACTCTTTCTTCTAGCATATTGAACCACTCTAAAAGAATTTCTAGTTTTTCAACTCAAAATTTAAGAGACAAATTTGGTAATTGACAAAGTCTGAGTCAATACCCAATGGAGCAAGAGATTGAAAACACCAAAAGGAATTTAAAAGTTTACTTTAACAACCCTGTAACTACCTTCTT